ATTTTAAAGTCCTAAAATTTAACAGGTAATGAGAATATGTGGAGAGCTACTCAACAATCACCAATTTAATTTGCTCTCTTTCTTGTTTTTTTTTTTTTTTTTTTCCCTAATTGCTTTTGTCTAATCTGGTGTTCTTGGTGAGTAATCTTTCACTTTTTAAGGTAATAGAGTATTACTCTCTTTTGCCTTCCAAAAAATGAAAGGAGGAAATTGTACAAATTGAGGCAGCACATCATGCTTTTCCAAATGTGTGCGATTTCTATTACCGAATCATAAATATTTAAGGACATGCATCCAAACCGTCACACAGGAAAATTCTATATTGGACACTTCCAAGTGCATATGTCTTTTAGTCAGCACTGTAAGAGACATTATCTAAATCATAACAAATAGCCCGCATTTCAACGTTCTGAAAATTGGGCAAATTAAATGTTGGTCGGCACAGCATGATAGGAGTACTTTCTCCGATTTTCCCACTTCTGCTTTTTGTCTTGTAGTGGAGAAAAGGACAATTCAGGCAAACACTTCCTTGCTTTTGGAATAAAGCAAACCAGGTGTGAGAAGTTTTTCTTAAGGCTTGCAATCTTATATCCCTGAGGACACTGAATTATTAATGGGTAAAGGAGAGAACAAATAACCAAGAAAGGGTTCTTGGCAGCCATTGTTTGATGTTCATGGTGTTACACAACACTGAGCATGTCCAGTTCACCTGCCAGGAGCTATCTGGTTCTTACTCTAGGGTTCCATTTTCCTATTTCGATCTTACCCAGCATCTGGCTGGGTGATGGTCCATGTCAGAAGATGTAGATCTTCTTCTTATTCCATTAAACTTTGGGATCTGGTTATGATATCATGCCTCATATATTTTCATCAACAAATGATCATATTAGCTGGTTACCTATTCCCTGCAGAATCTAGGCTTGTGCTAGGAAAGGAAATAGAAACATCAGGATTTTATTAGTCTCTTAAGTGTTCAGCCCTTCTGTTCTCCCGGGTCTGGCTGGACCGTCTCCTCATCTCATTTATCAGGTAGAATGGCATTAAGAACACTCTGTCCACACACTATCTCAAAGGAGATGCAGAGCCTTCTTTACACTTAGATTGAATTTGCTGGACTCTGAGGTTAAAGAGGTAAAAAGGACTGCTGTTTTAGCATTTACAGCGAAGTTCCAACTCAAGGACTGATTCGGTGAAGGGGCCCCTAGGAGGGCACAAGCAAGGGTGGAAAGGTTAAGGTCAAGGCGTTGGTGAGCAGGACCACATGATCCAATCATTCCAGCTGTTAAGTAGATTGATTTCTTTGCCTGGCTACATGGTGCAATTTGGTAGATTGTTTTTCTCTTTTACTTTTGGGAAGATGATACTAACTTAAGTAGCTGAGTCTCAGTTCTTGGGGCGAAAAAAAAGCGTTTTCAAACAAGCCTTTAAAATGATGTCTGGGATTTGCTTTAAAGTAATTTAGCGGGAGGGAGAACAAAACAGAGAGCCCTATCAACACAGGTCGTGAGATAACTGTTCAAACTGGGCAATGGGTACATTCCCTACCTTTGTATATGTTTGACATTTTCCATTGAAAGAGTTTTTAAAAAATGAAGTAGAAAGCCAATGATTCAGAAACTTGCTAGTTATTAGTGTCAACCTTTAGCTTCACCTAAACCACGTTTTAAAAAACTGCTAACAAGGAATGTGGTCTTCACTTCATTTTCTCTCTCCATGTCTGCTCATCTTATAATAAAGGTATTAACAAACAGCAGAATTGCCAATGGAAAGGATCCGACAGGGAGGAAGGTGTAATTATCATCCCTAAGAACGGACAAAGGGACAGTGAGCTGTACCCACTGGACATATCCACAAGCTCATGCATTCCTCCTGGTGCCTGGAAATCCACACCCCATGTCCCGTTGGTAAGCACATACTGGAATGCTGAGTTACAATGTTTCTTTCTAGGCTGCTACACTTTTTCTTAGTTCTTGTGGTTGGAATCAGAGTTAAGACCAAAAATGACAAACAACTGTGGAGAGAGTTATGGGTTTGTACAGGACAGGAGAGAATGAGCTCCTCTCTTCAGAACTGCACATCTCTTCCCTGCCCTCGGGCCCCTGGATAAACAGACCCTCGGGGGGCAGGAGATCTCACTGAGTGGAGGGGCTCAGGCACCCCCTGACATTTGGAAGAGTTTGATCTCAGTTAAACTATCTTCAGTGTCCCTAGCAATTCTCAAACATGGCAGATTCTGAACTTGACTGCAATCACGAGCCATCGTTCTGGACAGTGAGCTTCTTCTGGAAAATATAGAAGAAGATCCCACTAAGTACATAAATATCTGGAGATGAGGACATTTGGAGGCTTGATGTCAATCTTTTTGAGAAGTACAGAAAATCATACCTTAAAACAACCCCCCAGCTGATCTTGTACAAACAAAATAAGTGCTCCTTCTAAAACAGGAATCAAAAAATAAGAGAGGGAGTTGGCATTTTTTCCCCCTTTCCCTGTTATCAGTTAACTGAGGTTAAAGAGGATTTCTTGGCACAAAGCCGCTTGATTCTATTCCACCTGAAGTAATGAGGTGAGAAGGTAAGAAAGAGATCTATTTGAGGAGAGGCTAATTGAACAAGTTCCTACTCAAAGGGAAAATAAAAACACACCAAGGATTCTATAGAAGAATAAACCAAGAATTCTATACCACTGATTTCGGAACACTATACCATGTCAGGGGCTCACAGCAAGCACCTCTTCCTTTGCTTTGGGCAAAAGATCTGATTTGGATTTCTTCTTATTCATAATCTCCCAGCAAGAGAAGAATCTAAGGATTGCTTCATTTTTGCCAAATGGCTAAAAAAAATTTCTCTTCTATCCGATAATTATGCTCTAGCTCCAGCCAAGGCAATTTAGACTATGAGACTTATTTCACTCATTTGGGACTGGTTCAAATCTCCTTTTACTCTTCCCAGAGAACACCTGAAAGGCATAAAATAACACGGCTTCACAGCACACCTTTCTGTTATATAAATATTATTATGTTCTCTTAAAGATCCAGCAGAAAACCACCAGAGGGGGTGCTGTTGGGTCCTGCTCACAACGCCTTTCCTGCATTAGTGTGCCCACCGGCAGGCAAGCGGCTGGTGGTGCTGGCTGCTAATAGTGAGGGAGAACTGTCTTCACTACTCTACACTGCCGGCTGGAGGTGACCTGAAGCTGGTGAATAATATGGAGTGGGGGGAGCAAAGAACCAGCCTCCTTGCCTCCAGGCAGGCTCTACCCTGCAGTGCAGTTCATGCTCCAGAATTCTCTGTGGGATCGGGCAGAGCTGGAGTCCGGTGAAAACCATGTCCTTGCTCTACAACTTCCCCTTCCCTCTCTGCCCCTTCACATCCCAGCATGGTCCTCTGAGAAGCCCCTTTCCAGATCCCCATCTCAGGCTCTGCTTCTAGGGAACCTACATTCATGACGCTTCAAGAACCCTATGGCAGCAAATGAAAATTAACGTTTATTATTTTTAGTATGCTGTCTTTCAGTGTCTCCCAATCTGGACAATTTCATGTATTTACACCCATGGACACAAGACTTATTAAATGGCCTTCAGAAAACACACAGAAGGTCCAATGGAATCCATAGCAGCTTACATCTCCTACCTGAGCATCTAACGTAATAGATACATAGCCCTCCCGGCCCCCAGACCCTTTTCCCAAAATAATGCGCAGACCAGATCGCAAGCCCCGTTTTCCACCTGTGCACTTATATACAGAGACAAGGCCAGTACAGCACCACTGTTCTGATCTGTTACAGCAGGTTTCCCTTCCCTGATACGCCGCAAACTTTGTGCGAGGCCAGCTGGCTCTCTGTTTTATTTACTGTTTGATATTTGATATTCTTAAATTCCAGTCCATAGAATTAAAAAGAAAAAAACAACTCGGGTTAAGGTTCAAACGAGCACCGTTCATATGTCTGATGGTGCTCCTAGGTCAATTCATACAACCTCAGAAGAAAAGCATCCTTCATCCTCCGCTGCAAGAATTAAAAACGTAACACCAGTCAATGGTTACCCTTAGGAAGAATTTGCTAAGTTTGCTCAGGAAAGCAAAGCTCCTTCATTTAAAGCCTTCTTGGCAGCTCACACCTGCTGCCTCTGTCCCTATTTCATTTGGTAAAGCCTGCATGCTGGGCTAACTGAGAAGCTGGAGAGTGGTCCACGGGGGGGTGGGGGGTGGGCGGCAGGGGGATGGTCCTTCAAAGCTAGAGGTCGGATCTCCCCCAGGAGCTTCCTTTCCCTGGTGAGATGTGCGCTTGTTGGAGCTTGCGCACAACCCTTCAGGTCTGGACCGCCTTCCCAGCCCGGGGAGGAGCAGGGAACTGGCCGGACCCCTATCTTTCATAGGGCAAATGGATGGCTGACGTCCACAAGCTGCCTTTGGCAAATGGAAAGCTTCCTTAGGTACAGCTGTTAGTGAGAACGGTTTTCCTGCGGACTTCTACAGCATTTTCTTTTGCTCTAAATTTTTTTGCCCTCCTAACAATGCTGTGATATCCTTGGTTGACACATTATCAGTCCTCAGCTGCCGAGTGACTCAGGAGCACAGCTTCAGTGAGAACCTTGGTCTCCAGACCGAGTGGGGGAAGCCTCCCTGAGATACAGACCCCGCTCCCAATCACAGCTGCACCGCCCATTTAAACTCCCAAGTCAAGAAACTTCTGCAAAGGGGAGACTATGATCTACTTCACAAAACTACTGTAAGGAATAAGAAACGAGAACATGTGGAAAATTACCCAGCCAGGTAACAGCTAGTAGATGTCTGATAAATATTAGTGGTCTTCCCTCTTGGTGTCCTCCCTTTCTGTATTGTGTCCGTAAAAATTTTAATACAAACTAGTGGCAAAGGGCATGACTCCTTTGAACCCAGTGGGAGAAACCAGTTTGGGGACCAATGTGCAACACGTGATTGGGGCCTGATGGCCCCCACACAGGCGGCGCTCTGAGGGGACCCCGGCATAAAGTGACCTACCTGGTGGTCGTCCGAATGGTGTTTTCTTTTGTGTGATTGTGCTCTTTGCTCACTTTTTCTGTGAAGAGAAAGAATGAAAATGTACCTCTTAGGTCGCTCTTACTCAGTTTGTTTCTTTTGGGGCTCAAGCAGAAACTCCCTTAACATTTCCTTTCCCCTTCCTGCGGTTTTCTTTTGGTTTCTTTTGTAAATAGGCAAATCTTCCCTGTCTTCCTCGCAAAGACAATCATGAAAAGCATATAGGGAGCCTCCGCAAAAACATTTTAGTAAAAACCAATCAAAGGGAAACCGTTACTAACAAATTTCAAGAGTGTTGTCTGATTTTAACGAGGCCCCAGTAAGTACATACACACAGGCAGAGATGTGCACAAAAACAGTTGTCTCTACTATATCTTTCCCCAGCTGAAAATTTCTGCTTTCCTCTGATTCAGCATGAAAACTGCAGTAGTTGCAAGTGTTCCGCTTCCGACTTTGATGACAACCTTTAAGCATTCCGTATTGTCAGGTCCCTTTGTGAGAGGGGATATAAAAACAGCCACAAGACCTCTGGGCTCTGCAGTCATCGGGCGCTTATTCTGATAAATGTCACAAGGGACAAAAAATATCATTAGCCAAGCAGAGGTAAACCCTCCCTTACTCTGTCTTGAGGTCTGTATCTACCAGCTGTCAGAAATTATTTAATTAGCTTTCAAGAACACAAAAGTTGAACTCCGGCCTTCCGGATCCAGTTCAAATGTGAGGATTCTGCCCTGTCACAGCTCTCAATGGCTCAAGTATGCAGAGCAAACCTGGCCAGCCCTGCAAGGGTGTCAGATTTCCACGGCAGGGCAAGTAAAAAACTCCCCATCATACGGATTTGTGAAGACATTTAAACAGATATTTGGAAAAACGAAAGGTTTATATCATCTATCCAATACTTTGTAACACTAGTCTGAAGCGAGGCACGCGGTGTGTGGACAGTTGCTTTCTGTCCGCTCAATGACACTGGGGGGTGAATTTGGAATCAGAGGCAGTATTCTTTCAGAGAGCAGGAAATCAGGGCTCAAAGACTTGCCTGAGGTCACCCAGGCAGTAAGCGACAGTGCCAGGGCGAGAACTCTCCGACAGAAAGTTTTTCGCTGATAGTAGACAGTGATAATGTACTGTTAGAGACAGAGACTTTCTGAAAAGAACCACACTGGCCTCACTTGTGTAAATTTTAGCTGCTAAGTGATTTTCAAAGTTATATTGTTTTTAATGTTTATTTATTTTTGAGACACAGAGACAGAGCACGAGCAGGGGAGGGGCAGAGAGAAAGGGAGACACAGAATCCGAAGCAGGCTCCAGGCTCTGAGCTGTCAGCACAGAGCTGGACATGGGACTTGAACTCATGAACTGTGAGATCATGACCTGAGCCGAAGTCGGACACTTAAACGACTGAGCTGCCCAGGCGCCTCCCAAAGTTATATCGTTTTTAGATATGCTTTCAGCTTGCTTTAAAAGAAAAAGCATCTTGTATGATTTGGAGCTTTTGGGAGTTTGCAAAGATCTCCGTGCCCCGTTAAGTTTATAGAAGTAACTATTTCCATTATTGCAGAGCTTTGCACAAATACAATCCTTGTTTGAGAACTGGGAGGTCACCATTTTCAGGACCAACTGATAGTTTCAAGCACTAGGGTGTGTCACTGGGCTAACAAGAAGGTGAACTATCATGATGGCATGCAGATTCTAGCAGCTTCTTTTCTCTTCCCTGATATTTTTCTTAGTGGGGGGGGAAACAAGTGAATACTTAAATAATGAGGCATCTCCTGGTGTTTTGAATACGTTATGCATAACAAAACAGAGTTTATCAAACATTGGTAACAAACTTTACCGATGCATGGACTTCCATTATGTATGCCAACGCTTGACTACTGACAAGGTATGTGTATTTCTTTCGAATCTGAATCCTGTATGTGTATATATCTTCGATCTCAATCATGTTCAAATAATATGAGCATAATAAATTTGTGAAGGACAAACAGTATGCAGCCTGAAAGAGTTAACAAAGAAAACAACTAGGACCCCCCCCTCCCCCCTTGACTGTTCCATCAAGACACTTAGCTGAGCTGGTGGTAATTCCCATACCTGTAAATTCCAAGTATTCAAAGTAGAAACAATTGGTTTACAGAAAATGTTCTATAAGCCTATAGCTGGAAAGAGTCCTCATATTTTCATCTTTTCCTTTTCCTTGATATTTTTCCTTTTTTTTTTTTTTTGGCAAGATACAGTACAGTCTCCTTAATTCAAACCACACTAATTTAGAATTCATGGTAATTCAGTCACTGTTGGAGTAAATTGAAGTTTATCTTTTGAACATTGGGTGGGGGTGGGGGCGGGGGATGGCTGTTAATCAGATCAACTGCCTAAGCAAAATTGGAGGTGAGATGTTTAGCCTAGTCAACAGGGATCATTTGCACAGAACTGAATTGAGTTCTAATTTCAAATGATTCTTAACTATTTATTAAAGAAAGTTTGGCAGGAGTTCTACTTGGCAACGTTTTATTAACTGTTAGTTTGAGTGGCAGCATGCGTGTTAAAGTAACAAAATTGATTTCTGTCCGAAAAATCCTATAATCTAGGTGTTTTTTACTTTGTTAGAGTGGCTTTCCTTCCAATTATTCCCAATTATTGACATTTCCCTGCACAGAAACGTACCTGACAGTTGAAAGAGAAGCTCGGAAGCCATCTTCACAGAGATATCCTGACTGAAGAGGTTTCTCTCCGGGGGCACTCTGCCCTCTGGCATCTTCTGTAAGGGTTCGGTTTTCTCTCGCCCGATTAAAGTGCTATAGCCAACATTCCGGCTGGGTGATACTGAGACACGGGAGTCCTGGATGTCAACCTCCATGGGCTCCTCTTTAATCTTCACCATCTGAGTTTCCTTGTAGCTTTCCGCTGCAAGCAGGTGGATGAGGGAAAACAAGAACACCATGGTTTAAAATTCGGAACCAAATCCAGTTTCTCATCACAGAGAGAACCATGAGTATCGTGTCTGGGAGCTGGATAGAGGAGCACCACAGCTCACGAGAAACAGTTTCAAAAACGACTTGTCCAGGGGCACCTGGGTGGCTCAGTCGGTTAAGTGTCTGACTTCGGTTCAGGTCATGATCTCATGGTTCGTGGGTTCGAGCCCCACGTCGGGGTCTGTGCTGACAGCTAGCTCAGAGCCTGGAGCCTGTTTCAGATTCTGTCTCCCTCTCTCTCTGACCCTCCCTGCTCATGCAGTCTCTCTCTCTCTTTCAGAAATAAATAAAACATTAGGAAAAAAACAGAAACAAAAACGACTAGTCCAGCCCAACTGGTTTCCTGAAAAGGTAGGGAGCGGAAGCCCAGAGAAGTGACTTGCCCAAGGCCATGGGAGCAGCAGCAGAGCCAGGCCTAGGTCTCCAAACCACCCCCCACTCTGTGCCCAGGGTCTCCTGACCACTCCCCCAACTGCTCCATCCTCTCTGCCATGCTGCGTCCAGAACTAATGAGAACATGGCAATGCCCATCCTTGTTTTAGAACTTATGCAATTCCAGCAAATCAAAATACAAGCAAGCATATTAACATTACGATTGTCTCCCTCAATTTTTAAAGCTCTGACCATTTCTTCTTCTCTCTCTTCCAGGGCACCTAAAATTAATAAAGGGTAAATAGGGCCGATTCAACTGAGACATTTATACCTTGCTGGGAGCTAGTAATCCTCAAGACCACCTAGGAAGTTAATTGTAGCCCAAGGATCAACGCTTAGAAAAACAGCAATCTTACAGGTTATAATAATGGTTCAATTTACTGACTGTTGTTGTTTTAGGTGTGACTATTAGATGTTTGATCTTTAGTCTGAAACATATATTCGCCTTGTAAAGTCAGAGTGTCTTTATGTCCACGCAGTCTTTAGAGCTAATGACAGAGCATCTTCGAAACAAAGTGTGGCAGTCAGACCATTAATTTGGGTCACTTTAAAATGAGCACACTTTCAAATCAATAAGCATTTACTAGTAACTACAGCAAACTCAGCATTCTGGGAGAAAAAGAGGAGACAGATAGATAGCAAATAGTGGCCCCTCGAAATATGTCTACATCCTAATCTCAGGAAGTTGTCAATGTCACTTTATTTGGAAAACATGTATTTGCACATATGATTAACTTAAGGATCTCAAGATGAGATTTTTCTAGATCATCCAAGTAGGGTCTAAATGACATGATAAGTGTCCATATAGATGAGGACAAGACACAGTGGAAAAGAGCATGTGAAAACAGAGACAGTGCTCTGGACTGAAAATGTGCCCCACTCCACCCCCAAATTAATATATTGAAACCTCATCCCTACTATGATAGAATTTGGAAGTGGGGCCTTTGCGAGGTGATTAGTTATAAGGGTAGAGCCCTCATGAATGGATAAGTGCCCTTCTAAAAAAGACCCCAGAGAGCTCCTAGACAGCAAATACTGGAATACTTGGGCTCGTTGATTTTGGACTTCCCAGCCTCCAGATCAGTGAGAAATAAATTTTTTTCATTTATAAGCCACCCGGTCTATGGACTTCTGTCGTAGTGGACTGACCTGAGCAAGACAAGAGAGTGGAGTCGTGTAGCCACAAGCCAAGATCACTGCTCTAAGCTGGGGTGGTTAGAGAAAATTATGCCCTCCTTACAAAACACGAGATAAGTGAGAGCCAAGTACATGTACAGCTTATTGAGTTGTAGGAAAGAAGACAGAAGAGCATTTCTAATTAAATGATTACAGTTAATATAGTGTTGTCAATAAGAGCTTAAATATGAAGTGTGCTAATTGTTCTTTTTTCTTCTTGACATATTACACATGCTTTTCAGGGAAAATGACTTGTGTTTTTGTCAGCAACTAAATTGCAAGCAACTATTATGTTTAATTTAGATCCCTTCCCCCTCTTCCTATTCTTGCCAAGCTGCTGTTTCTCTGTACATCTGTGAAACTCATAAAAACCAAGTTCATTGATTCAATCCTGGTAAAAAAAAAATAAAGAAAAGAAAAAGAAAAGAAAACATAAAGCTTTCAAAGTTACACATCTAGCCTCTCTGCCTTGACTTGTGGTCCACCTGATTCTTTCTGGAGTACCGACTCTACCCCCTGGCAACCCCTTAGGGATTTGGTGACCTGACAGCCACCGTGACCGCTAGCTAGCTACCTCACTCATGGATGGAGTCACAACACACATTTCCCTCTCTGTGTTCCCTCAGAGTACTTAATATTTGGAAAATAAAGTGGGGTCAGTGTTACAGGTATGTAATAATGTCTCCGAACCATGCAAGTCATTCCAAGGCTTGAAGACAAACACAAAAACATACCAGAAATGGATTCATTTAATTTTTAAAAAGGATCTCAATGATACAAAGAGCAAAGCTGGAAGGAGGCTCCATTCTCTTTATCTTTTTCCATCCCCTTTCCCCAGCGTTGTCCCTGGGTTAAGAATCATCTGGCTAGGGGTACCACTGACTTGAATGGTATCAGGTTTTGAAAGCTACTTGGGATAATTTCAAGTATGATTTACATGAAGTGTTGTCTGCCCTTTCTTATGATAACTCTTGACCTTTCAAAAATGCACAAAACACTGATTACTGATAAAAAGCCTTTAGTATTTTTAATCTACCTGATACACTTGAGACTCACAGAGAAGAGTTTTCAAACTGACATCTCAATGGGCAAGTGAGGCATAATATAAGAAATATCTTGGTGCTCCTTGCTCTTCCATGCAATAGCATTATTGCCAAGTGTTTTTTTGTTTCTTGTTTTTTGTTAAAGCAGGGTTTCTCAACCTCAGCACTGTTGACGTTTGCCGCCAGGTACTTCTTTATTTCGGGAGGCTATGCTGTGCATTCTAGGATGGTTAGCAGCATCCCTGGTCTCTACCCACTAGATACCAGTAGCACCCATCCTCCAGGTGTGAGAACCCCAAATAACCCCAGACGTTGCCGATACCCTCTGGGGGAGGCAAAATCACCCCACCTGAAAACCGCTGCTATAAACTTTTTGCGACACTGGTTTTTAGCCCCTTCCCCTAAATTTAATCAGCACCCGAGGCAAATAAGAAAGAAAAGCTGCTCTTAAGTTACAGCTAAGGCTCCCCCACATCTTGATCCCATCCCAAGCTGGTGCCTGGACAGGCTAGCGTAGGAGGCAGGAGGCAGGCTGATTTGGGAACAGATCCCAAGTCGGCTAGAGATCCCACCGGCCCTCTCCCTCCTTGGCCTAGGGCACCCTGACAAAACAGCTGCGGAGTTCATCATTTCACTCTTTGCTTTGACTCCCACATCCAGAAACATGCCTACCCATCCAGAGTTTACTCTTTTCCACCCTCTTCCCTCTCCGCACGCACTGTAAATCCTTCTAGAATCTCTTCCTAAAATAATAGGACAAATACTAGTTTTACCCCAAGTGACCTGTTCTGCTATTCCAAGAAAGAAATTGGCACATGGAAAAAGATGAAAGACAAGAGTGTTAACAGTAGGTTATGCTTGGGACGTGGGTTGAAGGCGACTGTTTATTGCAATGCTCATTTGTATCTTGTAATTTTTCTATGATAAGTATGGATATTTTGTCATTTGCTCAAAATTTTAAAAATAAAAAAATGACAACATATGCCCATAAAATGGTGACTATTTCCTCTTTAAGAGTATTTAGAGGGGCACTTGGGTGGCTCAGTCGGTTAGGTGTCCGACTTGGGCTCAGTTCATGAGTTTGAGCCTCACGTCGTGCTCTGTGCTGACAGCTCAGAGCCTGGAGCCTGCTTCGGATTCTGTGTCTCCTCTCTCTCTGCCCCTCCTCCCTCATGCTCTGTCTCTGTCTCTCTCTCTCTCAAAAATAAATTAACATTAAAAAAAGAGAGACTATTTAGAACACTGTGCATGTCTGACAGCATAGGAAAAGTGGGTTTGCAAATTAGGTAAGTCCTATTCAAACTCTGCTTGGCAGAGGGGAAAAAGCAATGAGAACGCAATAATATTGTCTTCTCTACTTTCACAAACACAGTACACATTAGTAATTATCAAACGGGTTTATGTCATTCATCGGTCATGTGGTCATTCTGCCATTTTTAAAATGTCCACTATGCACTGAGTACTAGGACAGAGGCTATGCGGGATACAGAGGCAAAGGAGGCATGGTTCTTGTCCTCAAGCATTTTAAATCTAAATGAATGATCAGACAAGTACAAACAGCCCTCTACTAGAAGAGGTAAAATTAAAATACAGTGTGGGAAGAGGAGTCAAGGAAGACGGGGAACCAAAGCACAAAGGCGGAATTGTACTCCACCCGGAGTGTTCACAGAACGTCATGTTTTCTGGTTTGGCTGGGGGGCCAGAATGGAGAGGTGGGGCCGGCACCTTGAATAAGCCAGACTCATAGGGTAGAATATAAACATAAAAGCAACTCTATTTCTGTCTCCTATTGTCTCTTTAAAACTGCCCTGTAGAAAGAGCTCCTCTCCTGTCCCTGGGTGAGAAAACTCAGGCAGGCCCAAACCTGATAATTCGCAGATAATTCAAACCCTTACGGTCCTCTGAACAGCAAATGGTCCTGATTCAGAAGCCAGAAGGCCCAATCCTACGTGTCAGTCCACAGTTCCACCTTCTGTGAGGATGAGGCCTCGCCCCTCCCTGGAAGGGTCGCCAGGCAGCCTTTTGGGAGGGAGAGATCTGTTTCTTCTCCCTTCTTGTTGCCTTCTCCCCAGCACACTAGTGACCCTTTCAGACCCTAGAAAAGAGGTGGAGAAGGAGGGGCGGGGAGAGGCTGGAAAGGTCCTTGCTAGCCTCTTCTAGAATGGTTTCACCCTGTTATGGCCAGCAGGCATTGCTCTCACGGTATTTGAGCATGGAGTCTTCAGAGGTCTTTTTCTTAATGTTTTATTTGTTTATTTTGAGAAAGAGAGGGAGAGAATCC